TATTGGTTTTTTTTTGTAATAACAAATATATAAAGAATAAGGGGATGTTTGGGATTGGTTATTTAAACAATTTATGTTTTTTTTTTTGTAAAAGTATTTATCAACTTATTTGGTGTTAAATTGGGGTTTTATAGAAAGTGTTTCGATTAGCTTATGACAATACTAAAACGTAATAAATTGATAATTTTTTGTATTTTTAATGTTTGACAAATTTTACTTATACATGTAAAATAATCAAAAGGAACAATCTTCCATATCAACTACGATCATCATTCCTTAGCCATTTAAATGACAGATATACCTTTTGTATTCATGGCTGCCTTTAGTATTGTTCATTAGGTTTTCTAACATAGGTCGTCATATAGGCCGGATAAACATAAATAAACATATGTATATCGATGATTCGATTTTAAAGAAATCCTAAAATTCCCTGTTGATTTCAAAAACTTTTTTTTAAAAACAAATTTGTAATCGATTTATGCAAGACATTGCTTATCACAAAGGCCAAAAAAACCAGATTTGTAGGAGAAATCACATTAAGAGACCGCTTATGTGAGGAAAAAGGTCGATTTTGATTTATGTTGAAAGAATTGGTTAGATTTGGTTTCTTGAAGGACTGGTTCTATTTCTTGAGGAAGGAGGCGTACCCAGAGATTCAACCAAAAGGAAGAGGCGTTTGGTCTGGGTGTTAAAAAGGGTCATTAATTTGGTCTCCAAACCCAATAAGTTGAATCTAATCAGTTAAAGGGGAATAACTTATCAAAAACTTCTTATTACCGGTATAAACTATTTTTTTTTTCCATCCAACACACTAAAAACTGTTTATTATCGATATCACACCGGAATAAATCAATAAGCAGTTTTCATAAGCAATCCCAAACACCTCCTAAATCCATGAACCAAAATCAAAATCTTAAAAATTGTTAGGAGACATATAGAAATACTAGAAGGGTACTCACGTAATGTAGCAAGATACATCTATATTTTATTATTTTATTTTATTGTTTATCCCGGTCGATGTTATAGTATGGTCTTATGTGATTTTGAAAAAATGATAATATTTTTATTTTTGAATAAAATATAAATTTGAAGATATCATAAAAATTTAACAAAAAAACATCGATATTAATATCAAATTGACTATTTAAAATTCTTATTTTTGTGTAATTTTTTAATTCAATTTTTTATTATAATTTAATTTAGGTTCAATAACGAAGTAATTTATATTTGATTTAATAATATAATTTTTTTATAAAGATAATAATTAATTAATTTATTAGAACTCGATAATCATTCTAATTATATTTTAAAATGAGATATTTATTCTCTATTTGATTATGTTTATCTGCAGTTAGTTATACCAATTTAAACATGAAACTTTAATAAGTTGTACTTATGTATAATTTACTTACAATCTTGAATTTTAAGTAATATACATTAATATATAGTACTTCATGCATAAAAAATGATTTTTAAAATTTTTTATCAAATACTTTATAATTAATATTAATATGGTACAGTATAAAAATATTCGAATTATGCGTAAGGAAAGCTTTAGATATTGAAATTATAAAAAAAAAAAAAAAAAAAGGAGAGTAATGGCAGACCAGTTTGAGTGGCCTTTTTTCAAGTCTTGCATTTCAAGCACTCAAATCTGTTTTTTCTTTTCAAATTACTCGCAAATCACCATTTATTATTTCTCATTTTATTTCTATAAACTAACTCCTCTTTCATCAAATTATATCTTATTGTCGTTTCATATGACAACAAAATTGTTCTAAATAATACTTTAACAATTACTTTTATCAATATTAAATTGAAAAAATTAGATTTTGTAACTCGTTCAAATGTTGCTTATAAAATCTTAATTATCGCAGTCCATAATACTATTTTGGACGATTTTCCTACACGCCAATGTTGAATTTTTTTCAACGTAGAAATACATCACTACAAACTTATAAAATAATCGTTGGTCGTAATATATATATATATATATATATATATATATAGTCATGGTTTTTTTGTTTTTTATTTCTTTGTTTTTTATATGTCTTTCTATTTATAAAAAACATACTACGTTGATTTTATTGGACTGGATCATCAACTTTATGTTTATTTACTTGTTGAAAGATCTATTCTTATGAACCATAAAGGGTGGTGTTTGATTGGTTTGTGCTTGAAATCCAAATATCAAAAGTGCTTGAATGTCTCAGGTTCAAATCCAAAGAGAAATAAAATCCTCTTGTGATCACGTAAGTTTAATGCGGTGACTTTGGGCTACCTATAAAGCAGGTGGTTGTTTCGAGATCAGTCGACTGACATAACGGATTGGATATCCAGATTAATAAAAAAAAATCTATCTTATGAATAAATAACATACATTAATTAACATATATATATATAATATAAATAAAAGCTAACAACTTATAAACTCTCAAACTAAATTATTATTATTATTATAATTATTATTATTTATGTTGGTTTTTGGGAGAACAAAAATTAGTAATCATGTGTCATGATGCACACTTAATCTCACCCTAAGAGTAGAACAAAAGCAATTTTTTTACAAGAAAGTGAAAGGACAAAATGAAAACTAAAGTGTCACCTTTTTATTTATTTTTAAACCAAAAATGTTGTACACTTTTCAAATATTTAACATTTACTTTACTGATATGGATGACATTATTTTTCAAAATTCTCTAAATCATAAGATCTCTTAAAATTAATGCATCATGTGTTATTTCATATAATTTCTTTTCATATATGGCTAAAATTTAATGTAGCGATTAACACATATTTGTTTCACTTATACTCGTGTTCACATTATAAACCGAATACATACAAAACAAACAAATATATGTTAATCAATATGTTAAATATTATACTTAGATTAAAAAAAGTCGTGTAAAACAAAATTTTACGATAAAAATTTTCATATATCATATAAATTTTAAAATTTTCAAATGATTAAACATCATTGATCGCTAAAAAAATGTAGGGGTAAATACCAAGATCAAGTAATAAACATCTATGAAGCCATGACTAATCACAAGATATCAAAATGCATACCAAATTACTAATCATAGTTAATTGATAAATAAAATATGATTTTATTGGCTCTTAAAGATATGTGTTGTCTACTCAACTGTTATTTTTCAAAATGTATTTTTAGAAATATATGTTATAAGTTTGTTGTTCAAAGATTATGCATTATATGTATATATACATACATAGGGTTGGGTTCACATAAGACTAGATTGTTTTCGTGAGACCAATTTTTTACACTTGAAATTTCACAGCAAGTTGGAATGACGCTAGTGGAGGAGCATTTTAGTCATTTTGTTCTCTTTTATTAAACAAATATTAGTACACAAGTATATGAAGCTTGAGTGCAAATGTTATTAACATAAAAGACAAAAAGAACAAAAACTAAATCATTTGACCCTAGACAAATTGTAGCTTCCGGTTTCCATGACAAACAAAAAAGATGAACAATACTTGGATAAATTCAACATCACTAAAAAGAATCCAAATTTTAGAAGACCCTAACAAATACTGAGAGAAGTGTAGGAGTTGAATTAAACTCCAACATAAATTGATTGACTTCTATATGCTGCATCTGCTTCTTCGTAGTATAATCCCGAATATGAATCAAGTAACAACTGATGATGACATGCTTTCTTCCATCTTCACAAACTATAGAGAGTGGATACTGATCATGAGATAGGAGGATGGTCGAAGAAAATGGTTGGAGCACCGTATTTTCGTGATAATATCAGCAACCGTAAGGATGATTCCTGGATTTATTAAAAGTTAAATACCATATTTAAATACTTCATTAAACTTGAAGGACGAAAATTGTAACACTTAGAAAATAAAAAAAAAAGGAAAAGGAAAAGGAAAAAGAGTTGAAGGTTGTTAAGGTTGACCAAGGCAGAAGGTGGTGGTGTGGCATATGGCGTGCGCTTTACGTGAGACAAGCAGGCCATATCTTTGCTTTCCCTTCCCTCACCCCACACGCGTGTCCCAAAATTTGCACTTTTCTTTCTTCTTTTTTTTTTTAAATTTTAAAAATAACATCATCAAAAATAAAAATGCATCCTATTCGATTATTTCCATGTAAATTTTGTTACCAACATGATATCCACAACCTGTTTGATTTTAATAAATATCAGTAATATTATAGAACATGTAAATGTGTTTTACCATCCAAATAATATGTCTATTTGATTACGCTCACATATTATACTCAATTGGTAAAGGGATAGAGTGATATTATTCAAAAATTCAAATTCGAATCATGTTGGAGATGGATTTAAACCTTTAGGCCCTTAGATATTTAGTCAGTTGCGACATACCTTCTCCTATATAATTCATAGGGGGAGAGATAATCAATCTTTTGTTTAAATATATGTATGTGAAGAATGGTATTTGGAAAATGTTAGTTTAAAATAATAAAAAACAACCAACTTCTCTCTATTAGTATGGAAAAAGGAAAGCGACCAAAAAACACATTATAATAACAAAGTCAAGGGCACCAGGAGACATCGTTCAAGTACGGATCCAAATATCAAACAAAAAGCCCAATATATAAATTGGGGTTTGGGGGGGGGGGGGGGGGGAATATCATAAATATCTATATTAAAATTTTAAATTAATTACAGAATAATAATCTTATCCTTGATGATCGGAGTAATGAATTTCTCTACCTTATGATTAATAATAGAATTGGAAAACGATAATCGGAGTAATGAATTTCTCTACCTTATGATTAATAATAGAATTGGAAAACGATAATCGGAGTAATGAATTTCTCTACCTTATGATTAATAATAGAATTGGAAAACAAAAACAGAGTGAGTGAGTGAGTTATTAGATTTTCTCTTTTGGTAGTTATCTTCTTTAAACTAGTTTAGGATGATATACCAATTAATCAAGCATACCAACATTAGAAGAAGAAAGAAAAAGCAAATCTAATAATAGTATTTCTTTGTTGGTGTGGTTTTTCTGTATAATACTCTTTTGAAGAATAAGGATTATTACAATGACAAGGGTTTGGAAGGCAACACTCTTAATTCTTTCAGGCTATAATTTGGCTGATAAAATAAAAAGGAATGACATGAACCATGGTCAATACCTAGTTATTTGCAACTAACATAATCAAGGAGGTGTTTATCGAGTTCGAAATGCCGGCAAAGATGTTTCTGCAACTGAAAACAAAAACAATCAGAAGCACAAATATGCTAAAAGATCACCCGCCCACCCTTGGATTGGATCTCAATAACCAAACTAGAAACATCCGGAATACCTTCATTACATCTGAAGCTTTAGTTACGCAATTCATCCCAGGAAAGCGACAAACCTCTTCTGCATTCTCGAATAAAATATAAGTTGAGAGTTGATCAGGTGTTCCTGTACGTATTTTGTTTAAAGGATCATCGAACAAATACTAACAGATTATTATGGATAACTACCGAAATATCATACCAAGAGAGATTCCATATCTTGAAGCCGTGTTCGGGAAAATCCAAAGATCAACTACTCTAAAAAATATGTTTTTGTTTGAGAAGCTGTTGCAGGAAAATGAAATGATCAGGACGATATAGATACAGTAGAACTAACAGATGGAATATTTTTCTCGTATACTCACGCAATGGAGAGTTTAGGAAAAATACGGCTGGTGCGTATGCAGGTAGATGAAACCAAAGAACGGAATTCCACCTGCCAAAAACAAGCAGATCAAAACACCCAAATTATCATATGAAATTCAGAGATAAGATTGATGACTACTAGGCCATATATGGTTATAAGAAATATTTATGTTCAAAATATATCCTTAAAGGAAAGATATCCAAAAATCGTAAGATATCTAAAATACAAAGATATGAACAACATTGTGAGACTAACCAGCCAAAATCTTGATGTGCCACCTTCAGTCAATAAAGATCCAACTGCAGGGATATTAATTGAGTTGAAGAACCTACATCACAACATAAGAGAACCTGTAAACTTGAACTTCAGATAAGTGCAAGATCAAAAACATCCAAAAATCACTGCATACCTAATCCCATGTAGGCTGGCTGTTGTGTAAATACATATCGTGAGATCCTACCCGATCCGCCATACCCGACTTAAAATATCGGATTAGGACTTCCGGTAAAATCGGGTGAAAATAACCGGTTCGGATCGGATTTCTTCGGGCGGGTAATTCGGGTTATTCGGGTATGGTCGGGTTTTGCACAGCCCTATCAGGGAAGGGACTGGAAAAGGTGAACATGGAAAAGAAGAAATGAGCAATACACTTAATAATGGACAATATTCTCAATACACCAACTTTCAAGCTACAATACTTGTGCGATGATCGAATCTTGGGATTTACGTCTCTGTATATAGTAAAAAGCTACTGCAAGACCAAGCTGTGGTCACTTGCAACATCTAGAAAAGCAGAACTAAAATTTTTAAAAAACCAGCCATATCTTTGTCTCGTCTCAGAATTCCTTGCGGGCTTAATCGTAAGTATCATTCTCCTAATTAAAAATACCAATAACAATAAATCGCTACAAGAAAATAGAAATGCTTATTGATTTAAGAAGTAGAATCCACTATGATAGTTCAAAGCCTCAGCAGTTGATCTAACCAAGTGACCCAGGCTTGTCCTGCATCATTTCTCTCCCATAGAGAACTCAACTCTGACTGGTTAGGAGGAAGACCAAAATAGCACCCTTCACAAATTACTAATACAGGATGCAGAAGCCTCCAAACCGTACTGAACCAAGCTGGGCCAATTGTTAAACCATCGCTCCACACAAGGTGGAGGGTTCAGTGGAGGTTGGTTTTTCAAGCATAAACGTGTGGTTGGCTTAACCAGCAATTTGCAAATTCGAATTCCTCTCCATTTATAATTTTATTTCGTACACCTGCTGCCACATGCAAGGTAAGTGAAGTGCTTAAGTATTTCTTCTTGAAATTTTATTTCAACCTAAGAACATAATTTAAATAAGTAATGAAATTTATCACCTATTCTTCAAAGTGGTGATACATAACAATGGGATTTGTTATATCAGAATATGAGAAAATATGTAATATTAGTTAGGATAGGTGACTGGCTACTTCTCCACATACCTGCTTCTCTAAAATGTGTGTGTGTGTGTGTGCGCCAAGGGAGATAAGGTTCATGCATATATTTTCCGACAAACTCAACTGTATGGATGAAAAGAACATGATGCTTGGTGATCTTCTCAAAGTTAATTTAATCCGAAGATTGTGGACTTCCACACAAGTAATATGTTTATCACTCCCAATTTCCTCAGTGTACAAACTGGTTACCACAATTTCTTTAACTTAAATACCTAACATCTTTGTCAGGTATTTGGAGTGCCAAAATCCTCAACTTAAGTGCACGCACACACATAAATTAAATCTCTTCTAACAATACATTATCTTCAAAAATCACTTACTTAGACCAATGGGATGCTTTTGCAGCACGTCTCATATTCATATGCGCTAGCCAGTCGGTATGTAATAGTGATACCAACGGTACCATTTTATCTTGATTTTCCCTTCACCTAGCTAACACTCTTGTCAGACTCCACGACAACAACTAAAATGTCTTTTAAAAATATATGTTTCATTCTTCGCAATGCTTTTTGGTTCATGTATCCCCAATTTCTAGTATTCCATGAGTTGAAACCATCAATGCTATCCACACATCCCTTGACAAACTGATATTTTTCTCTGCAAATGGATTCTCTAATAGCTTGCTTCTATTGTGTTACAGGCAAAGACAAGAATTTCATCAAGTTCAACTTCAAAGTGTAAATCTTTTTCGCATAGCACAGAGATCAGGTCAAAATTCTATGTACTAACTGAGATAGGATATTCCCTGAACACAAATGCATCAGAATTGTTTGCCAAAGAACCTAGAACCAGTCTTCTGGACAATTTAAAGCTTGTATAGTATTTCCAAATCCAACTGTTTTCAATATCTTTAGCTTCATGAACAAAAACTCATTTCAACTTGAGGTCAAATTTCAGAGTACACTATAAGTTTAGCACACAGTAGGATATAAGATTTCTTATAGAATATGAAAAGCATGGTATTCGAGTAAAAGTCCAGCTAGACTCAGTCAAGTGGTTACACTCATGATAACCTAGTGTAACACCCCTAATTAAGACTAGACTGCGAATAAATGTTCAAATGAGAGACTACTAGTGTAGTTATCTGAAAATAGAAGTCCATGGGTTTTGTATGTCCAATTGTATAAGTTATGGGTTAAAGGAGAAGTGGACAAATAAGTATCTGAGAAGGTACGTTTGTGAAAGAAGCAATAAGAGTTGGAAGGGATGATGAACCCATTATGATGAGCAAACTGATGAAAATCACAGCTAGATTATACTCCCTCTCGAAAGGACAGAGAACCCAAACAAGATTTGTGAGTTTGAGAAGGTTTCAAGGTAGAGAGTAGCAAGGATTGTTGCATTTTCACAAGCAAAATCAGCAATTCAAGGTATGACTACCATGTTAAATCGTTGCTTTAATGTAAGTTGCACAGGATGCTAAAAAGTTGCTTAGCATGGCTATGGAATCGAAATTAAGGCCGTAAGACCGTCGATTTACCAAGTATGATGGATAAGTTGAAGTGTAAGGTCAGAGAGCAAAAGCTAGATTTGATGCATGTAATTTAATGTTATATGATGGTTACTTCATGGTGAGAGATAGATATGTCTTATAAGCGTTTATCTGAAAAAAGAATTTGAGTAAATACATTTGAGGTACAAAAAAGATTTTGGGGAAAAAACGAAAAGCACAGTCAAACAGAGAACCCTGGAAAAGAGTATGTGCATTCTGCAAGGCTGCAGCAAGATTTGCTTTCTTTTTTGACACGGTCATGCAAGGGTTAGTGCGACCGTGTTGCTTTATGCAGAACGGTGCCAGGTATAGTTTGGCAAGACGTGCCAGGTGTAATGGTTGAAAATTTGACTTAGTATTATATACTTATGTGGGTTGTGTTGCAATTTGCGAACACAAGCAGTGAGAATATGCAGTGAGGTGAGTTTCCATATTTAAACAGGGATTCATGCCTCCGTATGGTCAGTATTGAAATATTTATGTTTTAGTAATTTAAAAGAAGATATGTGTGCTATGTGTTTACTTGTTTTAGCATTCTTAAATGATGTTCCATTATGATAAATGTGTTAATGTTATGCATGACCAAAGTTGTTAAAGGTGCGAGGCGCACTTAGGCGCAAGGAGTCCTGGGGCCTAGGCGCGAGGCGCATCGTATAAAAAAATAATATATATACACACACACACACACACATAGTAATACACAACTCAAATACCATTATATAAAAAATAGTAATATCAACTTAAATACCATTATAGAAAACATAGTTCAATTTCAATTTCCAAAAAGTAGTAATATCAAACATATCTCAATAAGGTTTAAGCCTCCAAAGCAGCAACCAGAAATCCAGATTCCAGAAGAGAGCTATGAGGAAGAAGTATAAGGTTTAAAGCCGTGAGGGAGAGTACAATGTATGGGACGTATGTATGGGAGGTATTTATAGGAGATGACTGATTAGAACTGAATAGTGAATTGAATAAAGAATTGAATAGACTTATCTAATAACTCTTTTTTCTAGAAGTCTAGGAGGTTAAAAGACATAATTAATATTAGGTTTTGACTTATTTAATAACAATTATTTTAGAAGTCTAAGAGACAAGAAAATTATCTGAATGTAGGGCAAATCTGTATAAGGCTTGCCTAAGGCCATTTTGTGCCTCAGCCAAGGCGCTGCGCCTTGGTGCACCTTGGTGCGCCTCAGTAACTCGCCTCGTCTTGACATGGAAAAAGCCCAGTCCTTTGCGCCTCAGCGCCTAGGCGCGCTTTTCACAACTATGTGCATGACAATGGTTTTGTATGTGTATGGGATCACTTGCTGGGATGCCCTTATCATAGCATGGTATGCTAATGCAAAGGGGTGTCCCCAGGACTAGGGAGTCCACAAGGATCAGACTAACATATGTTGGGTAAGCCCATATCCGGATTTTAAAAATCAGTGTTGACCAAACCATACGAGGAGCAAATGAAATCTCAAAGGATTAGAATGTTTCTAAAAACAAATGTGTAGATATGCATGACTATTTTCAAATAATTGCCAGTTTTGAGAATGTATGATTGTGGCATGTTTATCGTCGTACTTTCATGAAATGATTTATGAGATGTTTTACATGATCGCTAAATTCAATTTGATTATTCCTTCTTATTATTAAGCATCTGAATCCACATGGATAGTTCAATGTGCTCATCGGCGCCTGACCCTGAGATGTGGATCATCCAAAGACAAATCATGGACTCACTAAGTTTTAGTAGTTGACTGCCGATGTGTTTCACAAGAGATAACAAGGCCGTTAATAGAAAGGGTAAGGGAAAGGTCTAGCTGTACTAGAGTTGGTCATTAATATGCCATTTAAGTTGTTTTCAGTTGTTTATGGTTATCTAATGTTTCAGGATCAATATTGTATTAGACTTAGAGACCATCTAAGTCCCTTGATCATATTTCCTTTTATGTCTGCTAACTAAGTTGTGATGTTTATCTATATTGATGGCATGATCAGCAATAGAAGTTATGAAGTACATCTTCATGGGAAATGGGGGTGTCCCACCTACATAGTACATACCCTAAGTTTTTGTCCCTTATTTGAGTATTGCCAATGACTAACCATAGGTGCTTCAATGGGTGAAAGGGAAAAGTTTCACTCCCTTAGATGTGGTTTCCCAGGTCTTAGAAAACAAGTGCAAGTAAAGTTCTTTGATTTTAAACATAAACCAATCACACAGTTGTGCATCAAATTTCTCATAAGTAACAAGCATAAATAACATAAAAATGGAAAAAAAAATAAAAAACAAAAAGGATTATTACAAGGACACAACCTTAGCAAATAATAGCATATCTGCAACAAAACCCTCCCAAGTTTCTTCTTTCACCATCTGCAAAAATCAGAAGAATCAAATAAGAAACGTTGATTAATAATTCTCCGTTATTAAAGAGTGTAGACTTTTATTCTTTCATCCATCTTGTTCGTCATCTATGTCATATGTAACCTCATACTTGGCTGGCTTCCTATTACTATTTGCTATATAATGGCCTCCAAACCCTAAAAACTCATGACAGAAGTAAATATAATAACATCACAAGTTGCTATCCCAATTATCAGGAAAAACTAGAGGCATCAAGCTTTCTCAGCATCATTATTATGAAAAATCATTCTACCAATGACATATGCATCAAGATTTTCAGATGCAATCAAGCTGTGAGCGAGCTTTCCCCAAAACCATTTTGGATAACTACCTTTTCTTAGAAACTTGAATAAACATCATATCAATGCCAGAATCTTAGTACTGAAAAATATATGTGTTGTTGCAAATGTGCGTTTGGCAAAATGACACCACCAACTTCCATTAGCAACATCAAAAAGAACTTAATTAGTTGCAGCCTTTCGCTTGTACCCCCCCCCCCCCCCCAAAGTGATATTGGATTTTAACATCTTATAAAATATGATGGATCCCAAAAAAATATCTCTCTATTCCAGTTTAAAGAGCTAATATTTGATATCAACTCTAGTACAAATGCAAATTGCTGAGGAATTTGTTGCAAAGCTAATACCTACTAACATTAGCCTATTCAGCAATTGTTTCCCAAAAACCAACTTCACAGTAATATTGGATATGTGTATCAAAACTGTATACCTAGACAATGGCCAATGTACAAAAAGCAAGAAGCGCTAGAAGTTCCTATAATCAATGAGAAGCATTTACAGGTCAATAGAATAACAAGTCATCAGATGTATAATAGAAAGAGAGAGAGAGGTGTGCTTACACGGTAAAGGAAACTTCCGGCGAATTGAAGAGAGAATAACTGAGAAGTGGAGAATCGAATGAAGAAATAAGAGAAGAAAGTGAGGAAATGGAAGAGATAAAGGTATCCGATACCATCGCGAATAAAATGTTCGTTGTTATCATAATACTTAATTGGATCAACAGTGCTTTCACTGTTTGTGATGTTCTTCCCTTTCTTCCCTATGATTTCTAGGGTTTTCTGATTCAAAAGATAAATCTGGCCGGAATGAGTTCCTACTCAATCCGCCATTGTTCTCCGATCATTATCGAATCGTTTTGCTTACCCGGTGTTATTGCGGTAGTGTTTGGTGGGGGAAGGAGAAAAAAGAAAGACCAAACCGATAATAACGATAAGTCAGCGGGTGTTAACACCGGTTAAACGAATTTTATCTTTGTCAAACCGGTAATAAAGAAGTTTAACTTATAATAAGTTGATAAGTATTTTTGTAGAAAAATATAATTTGTTTCAAATAAACGGTCCCAAACAAATATCTCTCACTTCTTCGGCTTGTAGATTACTCCTATAATGTTGGGTCTTAGAGTAGACAGAGGAGACAGTTAGAGTTACTGCCAATAGAAGTCACCATCAAAGGTCCAAGCAGGACTCCTGGTTGTCATTGTTCTATCACTTCCTTCCATCATCTTGATGGGAATTCTTTTAAAATTGGAAATAGATTTCACGGAAAACCAGCTATAGCTCCTATTTCTAGAAGAGATTGAGGAAATGCTCTTCCCTTTGTGGAGATCCAGACACAGCCATCGGCATACCCTGGCCCGTCAGGATGCTTCAGGTAAGAATCTGCTTATCTACTTGCCTTTCAACCTCAGAGCAGCATTTCTGGTCGAACCCGCTCAACCCAACTAAGAAGAAATTCAATTTGGAAGAGTGGGCATAAATAAGAGATATTCTTTATAAACCGGGCCTGGATAATTAAACCTTAACCCGGATATTGACCTACCGGCAACTTCGAACTCTGTTTGGGATTGCTTATTTAAAACAACTTATGTTTTTTTTATAAAAGTGTTTATTAACTTAATGGTATCAAACCGGAGTGTTGTATGAGAGGGTTAAAATTGTAAACTGGTAATAAACAGTTTTTATAAGTCATGAATGATTAACTTATCAAAAACAGCTTATTACCGGTTTGGCACCGGTATAAACAGTTTTTTTTCTTATCCAAACACTATAAAACATCTTATCATCGGTGCCAGACTGAAATAAGTTAAAAAACAGCTTTTATAAGCAATCCCAAACACCCCTTTAGACTTATCGAAAATAACTTATCAGCTTTAAAAACCAAATTATTTTTTTAATCCTAAACCTAAAGTGTGTTCGTTGCCTTACCAGTCATCGTTCGTCTCCTTTCCATAGATGGAAATCTCTCGCTCTCCCTCTCTCTATCTCTCTCTCTCTCACATACACACATCAAGAACACACATTGGGAATAGCGGTAGAATCAGTAGAAATCAACGAAGACGATGATTGATTGATCAAAACAAATCTGATTTATGTACAAAATCAGTATCGATCCACTCCTTAATTCCTTATTTGCAAAAGATGGAGATAATCGGAAGGATGCTCTGGTTGATGTCGATGAATACCAAGAAAATCATCTATGGAGGTTAAAAGATATAGGGTTACGACATCGATTGAAAATGGAAAACTGGGAGATGGAAATGGGGTTTATGAAGTTTGACGATTGGGGTTTAGGTTTTGCAGTTAGGGTTATGGAAGGATGTTAATCCAAATGTCGATGAATACTCAGGAAATCATTCGTGGAGGTTAAGGGAGATGGGGAAGGTCATTTTTTGTCATTTTACATGTATAAACAAAATTTATCCAACACTAAAAAACAACTTAACAACTTATTGTGTTTTGTTACCGCCGTAAGCTAATTCAAACATTTTTTTATAGAACTCTGGTTTAACACCACATAAGTTAATAAGCACTTTTACAAAAAACACATATGTTGTTTTAAATAAACAATCCTAAACATGTCCTTAATTTGTACTATTAATATATTTTATTAAAAAAAAATAGAAGTTTAACAAGCAATCTAACTTTTTCATTTTTCAAAATTGATTAATTTTTTAAAATAATAATAATAAATTATTAGATTTTCAAAAGAAATTGCTTATCTATTTATTTCTAAACCAAAGAACTATTTGTATCATCGTAGTTGCCCCCTATTTTTGGTCTCCTTGTTTTTGATTTTTTTCTTTTTCGATTTCGACTATCTTTCTTTTACAACAATTTACTGAAGTATGTATAAATAATTAAAAAAAATGGAGGATTGAAAAGCCAAAAAACGATTAAAAAAGGGAGATCGATGGCAGAGGCCAACAACCCTAACCATCGATATCCCTCTTTCTTGAACATCTTTTTTGGAGTATGCCTCCGCCCCTGGTCCGCTCTGTCACCGTCCATCACTATCGTTGGCCCCCAACCATCGATATCCCTCTTTTTTGATTTGTCTATACTTACTTCATTAAATTGTTGTAAAGAAGGGAGATCATCGAAAGATGAAATAACACATATAATCAAAAGCAGTTCAAGAAATGTCATCTTCAAGATAATTATTCTGGAAAAAACAGTAACTTGCAAAATAACTTCGTAAATTGAACAGTTATTATGTACTATTTTTTTCTTATCTAAAATATGGTTATTTTGTGACGGGTTCTATTCAAGTGTCTAGTTTTTGCTGAGGATTTTATTTTTCTTAAAATATATTCATTTGTATTGTGGTTCATAAATAATATTGATATTTTTTCCACAAAATTGTTTAATTTTGCTATAAAAATAAACATGGTCTTGGGTTATTCATCAATAACAAAGTTGGTAATCATAACAAATCAATTAAAAATTTAAAATCATAGACTTATTGACTGTTGATTCAAATTTGGTTTGAAGCGTGTTTTATGAAGCACCATGAATTTTCAAAGAGACCAGACTTCACTGTTAGCTCTAATGCATTTTCCGTTTAATTGGAGATTTAAAACAAGATCTTCATTTCAACATTATTTTGCATTGCGTGGACTCTGAACATATTATTCACTTTTCCAAATTAAGGATAATAATATCTTAGTTCAGTTTATGCTAAATTAAACCATTTAACCCAGTATGTATGTATGTATGTATGTATGTATGTATGTATGTATGTATGTATGTATGTATGTATGTATGTATGTATGTATGTATGTATGTATGTATGTACTAAAAGGGGAAAGTTCCCCAGGCAATTTTATAAACGCAAAAAAGCGGAACCGTTACAAAGCAGATCAACAAGAAAAACTACGGCAACTTTGACTCACAAACCAAGACATAAGGAGCCAAAAATGACAAAGAGAAGTACACCAGAACATAAAAATAAAGCAAGCCGAAGAGTAAAAGGCGAAAAAAACCCACACTTTCCCAAACCGAGAAGGCACTCCACCCACGAAATCACACAACATTTGTTGGTGTCAGCTTATTTCTTGTCTTCCAAGCCATACGTTGAAGAATCTGCATCTTGATCTCCGCTACAACTTTGTCCCCAGTATGATTAAAGTTGTCAAAGAACTTCCTGTTTCTTTCCCTCCAGATATGGTATACCGTGGCCGATATACCAAGTTTTTGAACTGTAGACCAAGATTTTCATCTTTGAGCTAAACCCCTGTTAAGAATATCCTCCCAATTGTTCAGACAGTTCGTTAACCCCACCTCCTGTATGTATGTATGTATGTATGTATGTATGTATGTATGTATGTATGTATGTATGTATGTATGTATGTATGTATGTATGTATGTATGTATGTATGT